AGTCCCAGAGCAACCTTGCCGCCATGTCGATGACGGTGCAGACTTCGACGCTGATTAGTGCGATCAGCCTCTTTCTTCGTTTTCATGGATGGAAGAACATTGCTATCGTATTCGAGGTCACTGACGAGAGTATGCAAAATTCGGGTGTGGCCGAGACCATACAACTCTTCTTCTCTAAGACCGAGTCCGGCACGGCGCCCCTGAACGTCTTCATCATGGAGAAACTGCAATGGCACATTGATCCTCGCATGTTACTGAAGAACTTTACACTGAAAACTGACGGTTCGTCTTTTATTCTCCATGTCCTAGCATGAATCTACAATTTTCGAAGACCAACTGTTTTGGGGAGGTCAAACTACGCGAGGTTCGGTTCTGCAACCCCTTATCGATTGATACCATATGGTTGACTTACTAAAACAATTTCATTTAACATATCCAACTTAGCCACTCGCTGGATTGGGAAGGGAAATGGAGCACAAGCAGAGCTCGAAACACGAGCAGGGTAGCGAGTGAAGGTGGCGTGTACACATTCCCCCCCACCCCCCCACCCCCCCCCCCAACATAGACATTCGCTGGATTAAGAGGATAAGGAGGGTGTAATCACAATGAAGGGGGCCACTGTGGGAACCACGTGGTAATTCGTAGTTCATGGCCACTGAAGTGGAACCGACAGACTTCCACATCGTCGGAACAATTCAATTAGCAAATCTTCCTGGCCACTTGCTGCATTAGGATAATAAAGAGAGCGCAAACAGGGCTAGAAGTACGCACAGAGAAGCGCGTGTGAACTGATACCTGAAGTAACCAAGGCTGGCGTATAGACCCTTCTCCCCCCCGCGACACAGTCACTCGCTGGATTAAAATAGTAAGGAAGATGTAAATACGTGAGATTTGTGAAGTCAGCTTATTCACAGCTGCAAAAAAATTTTTTAGACAGCTAACCGTATGGTATCACTCAGGTGGGCTGAAGGACCAAATTTCGTCCTTTACTACTAAAGTTTTAACTATATCAAAAAACAAGTTCAGAAGAAACTTGCAAAAGCAGCCAGCTTTGTCTAAGCAGCCATTTCCGGCAAAGTAATGTTATAACTTGTGGAAGAGTTAGGGCATCCGCCCCCGTTTTTAGTTCAGTTTATTTATGGAAATAGGCGTGAGCGTCTGAGTGCCCTCTTTGCAAAGTAAAATTGGGTGCAGTATACAGAGAAGTCGTTTATTTTTACCAAATATTTCCCTTCTTGAAGTGTTTTATTTGTATGATTATCAGGACAACCAATGTCAGCTCGAAAACCCGTCTGTCTAAAAAAACTAGCTGGTAGCTTACAAACAGAACAACACTTTCATTAGCGATCTCGATTAAGCCCACAAACTTTAACGAGATCCAAGCCAACCGGTTTGGATTAGTGATTGAAGAAAAACACAAGAGCTTTTTTCGTGCACTGCGACACAAATACAAATTCCCTAAAAACTGTGGTCGCGGTTATAAAGCTGGCGAGTACATAAGACTGTGCGGCAGACAGAGGAATCACGAAGTAATCTTAAGAATGGAGACCGTGTCTAACTACATAGATAATATGCTACTTTAAATTTCCTAGTATGCTTTCCTCACATTTTTGGGGCGTTATTTGGGTGGCTATAACCCTGTGCCAGCTGATTCGGAAAGAATTGTGAAACCGATTCAGTGAGGAAAGGCCAACGTCACTGCTTTGAGGCAGTGTAGTGATGCGCCTCCTTTGGTCCTTGACCTCAACACATTCTTTCAGATTCAGTCAGACGTCTTCAGGTTTAATGCATTCAAGTAGGGCCGCAGGAAATTAAGGTCACAGTCGCCTCCTGGTTACTGATCACCGGCTCGGTGAATTTCGGTCAAACTTTTGAGGCTGCTTTTTATGCGGAATATGTAAATGAGACCAGCCTAAATGTCATTTTTAAAAAAATCGACGCATGCTCTCCAGTCAACTCTCTGACAGTCATTGCAGCCTGATTGCAAAATATGGTGTACACGGAGGCGAAAAGAGATTGGCTTTGTAGGATGAAAACAGAATATACTCAAAAACGAGCAACTGGAACCTTGTCGGTAAGCAGTCATACGTGTTGACGTCAGACAAAAACTGCTCCTAATCAACCGCGCGTTAAAATTTCGGGGCGCTTTAATAGTAAGGCTTCAATGTCAGGCGACCCGCCATGCAAGTCCATGCATTCATGGTTTCCTTTGGGGGACTTTGAGTAAGGAGCTGCCTGCAAAGCATAAATCATGCGTCACGCGATTAGATGGCGACTGCATCAATGCCAACCGGTAATTGATGTAGAAATAAACCTAAAAGACGCGGACCGAACAGCACAAGTTGTTGTATAAATATATAATAAAACTGCATATGCATATCAGGCTCATCATCTCTCGAAGAAGACGAAGAAAAGAAGGAAACGAGTTCGCGGACCGAATTATATTTGTGCTGGCGTTTAGAAAACCTACTCGTTTTTATCTCCCAAGTATTGTGGACGCTATCCGTGCTGGCTCAGAGTTGTTCAGCCTTTCCGCCTGCCTCGTATTTTAACTATGCTCAACGCAAAAACTTTGACATGTTCGTTTACTATTGACTGGATTTGACCTCCCCGAAGTCCACCGTAGGCGAACTCGCGTGACCTTTGGTCCTTTTCGACTGTCGTAGTTGGGACCAAGCCAGTGTGCTGGTTGGTGTTCCCCCGTCAGCCGGCGGAATGATTCGTCGTCGCGGTTAAGGTGAGTTGCTTTTGGCCTCGCGGGGGCTTCGGTGGGGCTGTATTCCACGTTGGCTACGCAACCTTCGGGCGGCCCCTAGCCTTGGTAAGCGATATACAGGTCTATAGTTCGATTAATTGTGATAGTCGAGGACCAACTTTCGAGCACCAACCTGGCCATTTTTTTCCTTGGCTCGGCTGATCATCCCCACTTTTTCAAATACGCAACTGTACTTCTGCTGTTGTATGCGGCCATAGACCAGAGAGAGTTTATCCTTGCGTTCGCTTTCAAGCTTATGTTAGTTCAGTCTTGTGTGAAGATTTTTGCCCGTCTAACCAACGCACCTCGCGTCACAATTTTGGCATGCTATGTTGTAGATCATAACTGAATAATCTGCCACTTGTAGCAGGTCTTTGGGGCTCATGCGTTGTTGTCTGGTTGTGGATTCCGGTTTATGAGCCACACCAATCGTATAAAGTTTCACCATTCTTGCCATCACCTCTAAAACTTTCGTCACATAGGAGATCGCGAGTCAGGACTTTGGTTGTTCTCCGATCGACCGTTCAGATTAGAACTTTCTGACGCACTTGTTTATAAAAGAGTGCAGATCTCCCTTGGCCTTTACTATTGTATGTAAGTACTTTATCCCTCCTTGCACTCGTCGTTGTCGCTACAGTGTGGTTGAACGCGTTGGAAGAGGGTTTCGGTTCGACTGCGTCTATGACCAACGAAGATGGTCGTTGGATCGTCACCCTTATCTTCCTGTCCTTCATGTCTGTAAATTGCACTTCATCGAAGGGTGACTAATCATTTACCTCTTATCCACGGCAAATTGGATGTTGGGAAAGACTGGATACAGAAGTCCCTTGAAGGACTGTATGTCGTTCATTTTGACCAATACGAATATGTCGTCAGCTTACCTGACCCAGAATTCCGGTAGTACAAGCTGGAAATCAGATGCTAGCCCCTTTACAAAACTTTTTCGGCGATTAATCCAGATAAGCGAAAAACCGGTTTTCCCTTCCTTTGCCCGCAAACGCGGCCGTTGAATGTGAAGAACGTCATAAGACGCAGTTCAAGAATTCGGATGACGTGCATTGACACGAGCTGTTGATCATTCACAACCGCCAATAGTGTCGATATTCAGCCGGAGTAGGACCCTATCACTTCGTCTGCCTCTAGTTCTAAACATTGGATACGTCTCGAAAACTTTTCCACCGACTTCACTGTCGGCTCCAAACTCTTGGTAAGAAAACAAAGCGATTGATGACAGACTGGCCGTCATTTCCGACTATGCCTACCGCGTGCTCCGTAGCAGGGTGGAAGCAGGGACGGCGACAAGCGCATGAATTCGTCTATAGTGATAAGAGATTTTCGAGGCCTCTACCGCCCCCCCCTCATCTTTCCCCACGTGGACTCGGCGTTATGACAAAGTTAAGAAGACCAAAGGTGAGCGAGGGCGCAGGTGACTGGTACAGCAAAAACTCGCATCCAAGCGCGTACCACCACACCGGCTGGGATCGCGCTGAGTAGGAGTGCTATGAAAGCCACATTAAGGAGCAGCCATTGAAGCCTGACTCCGCACACACTGGGCTGACTGCGAGGTCCAAGTTATCCCGTCAGTTGGCAGCCTTTAAAGTCAGGGATTTTAGTGTACTGTAATAGATTCAGACGCGTCTCATTGTTCGCAGTGAGGAATGTGCGCTGAGACCGTCTCTCTTCCCATTCCCAGGGACCAGTCCACTGTCCGAATGGGCCAGTTGTCTGATGCAAGGAGTGGATGCAATGGTTGAAAGGGCTGTAGCGTTCGTCTGATCGCGCCACGTGTACGACCTATACCCCCAGACGCACACACCAGAGTTACACACACAATATGGAACGGCTCGGATCTAACATACATGGAGGAGTGCTACTAAGTAAAATCCACCGTAGTCTGACTTTCAGTCCAGCAGTCGGCCACTCAACGGACTAACTGCGTGGTCTGAGCTGAAGCGTCAGTCGGCAACCTTTCAAGCCAAAGTAGTTGTTACGGCTACTTTGACAACACAGAGGTGGGGGTGCCACGGAATAAAGGATAGGGCGTAGGGACACTCCTGGCTTGTGCACCTTAGTCGGACCGTAGAGGTGCGCCATCGTGACATCAATGGCCTTTGCCGTCAGTGCTTCCCCTCGTGTGAGGACACCTTCATTCCTCAATTTGCCTATCGTCCTATTCATGCCGTTTACGAGCTTTTTGATCCCGCTTGCAGTTGTTGGCGCATAGGATCCCTTGTCCATAAAGAGATTTCCCAGTTGCGTCCAGTATTTGACCTTATTCATGAGGATTATCGAGCGCACCATGTCGACGGACAGGGTGACGATCTCATTCGACTTCTCCATTCTCAGGAGTTCTTGGTCTTCCGCTTTGGAAACCCTCATCTGGCGTTTATGCCTGAGAAACAAATTCGAACCTTACTACCGCATGCTACAGTTGCTCTCCCCGTCTCACTCACACATCTGCAGCGCTGACTAGAGGATACAATAGAGTCTTCTGATCGAGCATTTCTCATGCTGAACTTTGCGTCATAAAATAGAAACGTTAGCCGTTACTGCGTGGGATGATGGGAGAGCACGTTGCGAACCAGAACCCCATCAAATCCAGGCTGTTTTGACGGTCTTATTTTCATAAATTTCTCAGACAATTGGTCACCAAGTAACTTGTGCTATCACATGCATACATGCACATGTAGCGATGAAATCTCTATGCAAGCTTCATTGTATCTCGACGATGCACCCTCTTCCATTGTGAGCATCACTGTCCTCGGGGTCCAACACGTAAGCTGTACTGGAAAGCCCGTGCACGGGGCGTAAGAACATACCGTATATGCCTCAGGGGCAACATATAACTGATTCGTCAGAGGTAATATTCAGAGTTTTGGGTTCACTGGGCCAAACGCTGACAAAATAAAATGTATTGGTTAATGGCTCGCTCAGCTTAATTCTCGAGAAAGCTGAATAAGTTAACGGAAAGAAGTGTTTCAAGGGCTTACTAAGCGCGTTAATATCAGTAGTCCTTTCTTTGATGGAACTACTTGGAGCAGACACGCATCGCCTCTCAATCAAACGAAGATGCCAAAAGTTAATTTACCATTTCTTTCAGCCCTTCTTCTTTTGGCACGCCCCACGTTGGCTGCGTTTTTCCTGAGGTCCGTTAAAGACCTGCCGGTCTTTCAACGGGGCGAAATAGCCATAATACAAATCGATCCGCCCAACTTCATAACCTACGATTCCCTGCGATTCTGGCGCATTGTACTGGACAAGGAGATGCGAATGGGGGCCGCGGGGAACAGCCTTTTCATTATGACCGCATTACCATACGGACCAGGCTATGATGCACACTCGGATATTTTCAAATCAGTACGTTCATCTATGAGACATAATTCCTTATTAATTGACGTATTCAGCTGGCAGGCGTTATGAAATTTCCGGCGTGTGATATGTCATATTTTACCTGTCTGCAGAAAATAATTCTATGCACTATTTTCTCCATTAATTTCCGATACCCGGGTGTGTATGTCAGTCACCATAAACTTAGAGCCTCTATATCGCACCTGATATAACTTGAAGGGTGTGGCCCCAATCCAACTGACAGACAGTCATTCGACGCCTTACGAATCTAGAGACTTCCGATAGTTATTAAAGCGACATCGTATTGTAGTTGCCGAGTGGTTTACGGTTATAACACGTTCACTAGGCCATATCGTCGGTCTTAATTTCACGGGATTTCTAATACCCTTATTTGCTGCTTAAAACCTGATTCACATCCGACCAAACGAAGTCAATTAATATCTCCCGAAATTTCTCTATTTCCTGGTTTTATTAAAAATTGATATATGTGAGTTATTTTATCGTCCATTTGACTCCCTTAAGTCACTAAAAAGTTGAGTAACAAGTCTATGTCCCTGATAACTTCGTTACGGATTTAAACAGTTCTTTGGCAAAACAATGAATAGTTACTAAATGGCAGCTTCTAATGGCAGTTCCCAGGGCGTTTTGGATGCAAAATATTTTTAAGTGCATTAAGTAGTCTGTTTTTGCAAATAAGTGATGCGCAACTTAGTAACTGATGGATGATTGCACGCCCGTACAGTGTGTCTTCGTCTTTGTTGAACTACGCCCTCAAGTCATTATCCGTCGGCAAACAAAATCTGGAACTACCGGTGGTGTAGGAGATTAGCCCACAAAAATCATGTATAACGTACTCCGAACAAAAGATCAAACAGAGTATTTCCTACGGAGATAAGGACACCGTGCAGCCGGAGAAGCTCAGTCATGGGTGGAAATCGCATGATTAGTTCTCAGTAAAAATACATAGAAAGCATTTTCGTTCATTCAGAGCAAAACCTATTCAACGCAATGTTTTGTGGAAGTCTAGGCCACACGTATGGCCGGTAATGGTTTTTTTAAAATTTTCCTCACAGTAGATGTCGGTGCGTACACGAGGTAAGTCAGTGAACGTTTTTTATTTCAATTTTTATTTTATTTTTCCCATTACTCGCTTATTTTGCATCTGACTGACAGCCGCTTAGCCTGACTGAACGTTTCGGGAGCAAAACAACGTATGCAGAACTTTCGGACTTTTATTTTTTGTTTATCAGATCTTTTCCAGAAAGTAGATGATATCTATAATGTAATTTCTTTTCCCCTTTGACTTGGGTGATCGATTTCACATGCTTGAGTCCTGAGTGATGTATTGGGATTAGTTTCTGGAACATTCAAGAGTTGTTGTGACTTTAGTAAGTTCCCTCATTGTCAACGGATACCGCCGCCGCGTCTAAATGCCTTACTTGGGAAAATAGACGTTGCATGATGACGACACCAACACGCAAGAGTCCGACATATTTTGCTTAATGTATAGGAAATTTTTAAACAGCCCGGTACCTAATCAGACGCTTGAATATTCCCAGGTTTTCTTAGATAAAAGGGGTAAGAAATGTGGTGTGCACTGTGAAAGTCATACATGCGCGTCATGCTAAGCACGCCAATAGAAATTCAGTCCTCTGAATTAACATCCGCAGATTGCCTGGTTTCCCCTAAAACCATGCTTCCTTAATTTTGTCCCCAATGGTATACCTGTTATTTCATTAGTCTCAAAATTATTAATTTTGCCGGAAAACATTGTTGTTAAAACTACCCCCTGTTGTCATTCACGCCCTTTATAAACATGCAGTTTCTCTCAGCCAGTGGGCATCAAAAAACTGAGACTTCGTCGACGTAGGCGTACTGATAATAAAGTGGCCCATAAATTCGACTCATTCGAAAAATTGAAGAAGTCAAAGTCAGCACACGTACGCTTTTGATTATTACTTATCAGGTCCGTACGATAATAGGCAACTTGGTAGAGCTGTGGACGTTAAAAAAAGCAACTAGTGAAAAGCAATGGGCCAGGGGTGGTTGATGGTGTCTAGACAAGGAGACGAATTATGGTCTGGTTCTGTCGGAGGAAGTGTGGACGGGTGAGTGTGCCAGCAGGTCACGCTCGTGTTTCTTCGCTGTTAGACGACATGGTAAGATGCACTTGTCGGGCGCCGCTCGGCCCGGGTAAGTGGATGGCCTCAACCAACGTCGTTTGTGAGCACACGGTTGGTCTGGTACAACTGGCATAACCTGAATTTAGTCACATGCCCGTCTTATTTAAATGTCTCCTGGTGCACGCTTCATCTCATTCACCCTTCAAATGAGGGGAAGTGGTTGTTAGTCAGGCATTAGTGACTGCGCAAGACAAAAGAGGCACATGTCAATAGTCCACATAGATACCTCGAATTGGCTTCCTTTGTTACATGTGACCATTTCTTTTAAATGGAAAATATTGAGAAATGACTGATACTGCAGGTAAACAGTCCAGAATGACAAGCATGTCAATTTGTTTCCAACAGAAAACTCTGGTGTTGGCTGCCTCTGCAGGCGCAATGGCCATAACACTGACACAGATGAACTTCGAGGCCAACAATAACACCCTACCACACGATCGCGACTTCTTTCAGCCTCTTTTCGAAAAACCACTGACTGTTCCCGTTCTGCCCAATGTAACCTTCTCCTTTGCGAGGTCGGGGGACTTCTACAACGACTGGTATGACTTCTACTTCTTCACTCTTAACTCCGAGCTTGAGACAAGTAACAGGAGCATTGCAGCGATGCAGTTTGGGGAGATCTTTGACCTGGCCTCTGTCATACTCTCGCCCCTGGACACAGTACAGGCAGTCAAAGAGAAAGTTTGGCCTAACAACAGCGTCGGCCCAAAAACCGACTTTTGTTTGCATGCCAAATGCAACGAAGGTAGGTGGGAGCCTTGTCCATGACATTCACTCCCTTCTCCGAGGTTTCCCTGTTACGCATAGTACTACAAAATGCGCTTGTTTATCTATATATTTGTGAAAATCCCCGGGATATAGGGCTACTGAAGTACAGAGGAATGGGGTATTACACGAACAAGAAGTTTACTAGCCTAATATTTCGGATTCTCGCACGAACGTATGATTAGAGACAGTCGCGACCGCCTCTGATGATGAGTTTAAGTGGGAATCCGAAATCGCTTCCTGGTACTCGCCAATTCGCTTCTACTGACTTCTGAAATAGTTAATAGAAAGTGCTGAAAATATGCTCTTTAACCATCGACAGTCAGTCATACATTTTGTTCGGCTATTCCCCAGCCGAGACTGTTAATGCTTACTTGGATTTTTTTTTCTTCAGGCTTCTCTGAAATGATTCACCATGCGTTTGCATGATTTAAGGTGCCTGTGGCGGAGGTCACTATGACTGAATCAGTTAGTTCCATTTCGCGTGAATGCCCTTTGATGACAACTAAACCAGAGGTGGTCATTCAAGTGCCTTTATAAGGAAATCCAACTGCTCACCTATAACCTGTCTAGCCAGCATAAGCAAAAGTGCAGCGTAGTCAACAATCGAGCCCCCATTAATGACATTATTTTAAATGATGGGTAGCTTAATATACCCCGCGTTTAACTAAGTAACGAGTATATTTTACTTCGGTAGTGAGGAGCGGGCAGCTCACGCTGACTGTTAGCTTTTGTTCCAGAGGAAGTCTTTGGAAACCACCGTCCCGAGTCCACTTCCGGTCGTTTTAAATTTGTCTTGCCAAAGTAATAACGTAGATAAGGGAGGAGGAGTAAGATGGATGTTGTGCAAGTCCAACTCATCATAAACAGACTCGCACAAGTCACCTTTGAGTCCTATTTGTTAGGCAGAAGCCGACGTCTCTGTTTTTGACGATCGAACTTTCATCGAGACACCGATACATACGAAGATGATTGGGGCGGACAGCTAACAAATACATCAGTAGAATTGGTCTTTATGGCCATGTGCAACGGATGAGTGCTTAGATAGCCAGGTCCAGACCAACTTCATCTAGATCGGGGGCTTTCTTCGGGAATAACCATTGATCGTCAGCCCTGTAAGTTTCTGCTTCTTACCGAGACCCGAAATCTGATAGTCCAGTTGAACGGACAAACCGGGCATCAGCCACATTTCCCGAGTCCTTTGTCGACTGTCAGTTGTGCTAAGCACCGGACGATGCGTGCCTTTCTTGCCACTAGTTAATTGTTCACCAATCTGGGCGGCCGACCTCTCTGGCCTTGATATGTGGAAGGGAGGTGTGAATACCGTACAGTTTTCAATTACATTAGCAGAAACAGCAGAGAGCAGTGAATGCCTATGTGGCTCACTTCCGTGGCTTCGAAACGCTGTCAAGAACGATAGGATATCTCTGTAAGAATCTCAGCAGCAACACAAACTTATTAGCACAGGTTGGCTTGAGGTCCCCGCACAGTATTGGTGATATCGTGTGGACTAGAGAATTTACAGTCCTACAGAGTCTTTCAAAAAGTTGTCTCTGGGCCGCCCAGACCAGGGCACTGGCTGGTGTGACCTGTCTTATTTACGACAATGACCAGCCCTTTAAGTCACAGTCGACTGTATAACTTAAAAGATTTAAGTCAGAATGCTGCGCGGCAAGGGTATGGTTTTTGTCCGGGGAGACTTACTCCGGGGAGCAATTTTTTTTAAAAAATAACTGGCTGTGGCTGTGGTAGTCATTGGAGTAAAAATACGAAAATATAATACCTTTTTGACAATGCCTGCAAAGGGGTGTTAAATTCATTTACTACTATCATTAAATGATGAAAATAGTGTCCCCTTTTAATTGGTAGCAATATGGAGGACCAGATTTGGGTAAGATGTGGTATGGTAGCCCCATCTGGTGGACACAATACTGTTGGGGTTGGGGTTAAGGGATAGGGTTAGGGGTTAGGAGATATGGTTGGGGGTTATGGCTAGGGGTTAGGGTTAAAGGTTAGGGTTAGAGCTTAGGGTTTAGGGTTTAGGATTAGGGGTTATAGTTAGGGGTTAGGGTTAAGGGTTATCGCAACAATTTCTCAACTTTTGAAATTACAGCCACGCACTCCCAATAGCTTTTCTTTTGCATACAACTACTTGATCTCGTCGCCTGTGCGTTCCCGGCTCCATCTGCGAAATCCCCTATTACCATCGGTCCCGTATTAGAGGTAACTGGGGTTGTCTACTTCAAGTGGGGCTACGAAACCACATCCGAGCAAAATTTGTAATTGCACGAAGTTCTTAGACATTCTGCCCTTTTGTTAAACACAAATAATTCCAGAATTTAGGGGCCCCGGCTATAAACCATATCCTTGCCTGCGGCGCCACCGAAAACGATACTGCTATTGAAAAGTACTTCCGCCAATCAAAAAAATTTAGATTACGAAAAACTAATGACGACTAGAATTCTTTCAAAGACTATAGGAGTAGCGGGGATGCTTACAGCAGGCAGGTAGCGAGTAATTGAGGTTTTCGAGTAAAGGGGAAGCCTTGATTCGTAAATGATAGCTAATCATGACACATGATGGGACAAAGATGGATTTAGTTATTTCTTGTGCGTTTCGTTCGACACATGGATACGAGCCTCCTTATCTTTTAACACCCTGTTGGCTAGCATGACCATTTTTGTTTCTAGCCCTTGAAGCTAGTTGGCATTCCATTGGCCAATGTCCTTCCCTTTTTGCTACCCAGTACATTCCGTGTGCGACTATTCTGTTTTAACCGGTATGAGCGTAAAGAAGAGGTTTGGCGATGAAACATGGTGAAAGCCTCTAAATAAATCTACGGACAAACTTCGAAAGGGGACTCAGATCGTGCGCGGTCTATTCGCTTTTGACCTTCACTATCTACCCCTGACCGCAACAGCCTTTCTCAGATTTCCCCGGAAAAGGTCCAATTTCCGACAAGCAGTCATTATCGGTCAGAAGTCCAGACCTTTATATCAACCTTAACAGATCATCTTTCCTTTATACATCCCGTCTGCCTTGTTTGTCATCTTGTGGGGTATTTTATTAGGTCGTTTTATGCTCGGATAAAAGATCGAAAAGGTTGGGGTTTTCTGACGTTTTTCACTCGTCAGCGAAGTGCCTGTCAGCCTCGGTGATCAAAAGTACATGGTATAGAGAATAATGAATATGCGATTCCCGGATAACAAATGCCTCTCCCCGGTAGATATGTTTCCTTTTTGCTCCAATGGGTGTTCATATGGTAGCCCTATTAGGTAATGGACTGCCGCCCAGCCTCGGATGAAAGAAATAAAACCAGATTATAGTACTTCTCGATCCAATGTTGCCCTACAAATTTCGCCTTTTGGTGCTGATCGAGAATATACATCGAGAGTTCATGTCGGAAGGTAATTTTGTGAAGAACGCTGGGTGCCACATCCGAGAGGTTTTGCTCGCAGAGACGCTGTGGAAGAAGGTGAGCAATATTCGAGTCGTTGCAATTCCATGCCATGAAAACTAACAAAAATACAAAGTGGAGGGGTTGCCAGCGAAATATGGAAGGTCACACCTCAACTGGATCACCCGAACAAGAAGAGTGGCGCTGAACGCCGAGCAGATTGGCTTTGTCTTCGATGAAGACTGGACCCTCTGTGTCTACATTTTCGCGCTTGACGCCTCGCTTGGATGTATTCCCTTAAGGCATTGATGCTGAAAATGTATTCGACAGAGAAAACCTTTAGTTTATCTTTGCTGTCAAAATCTCTAGTCTTTAATTCTGCATGTAGGAAATAATTTTGGGAATGGTAAATGGCTAGACGAGTTAGGCATAGAGCGGAAAATCGGGCGCTTATCGAATAAACGATTATATGTTCCAATTTGTCTGGGCGGTGTTATAATTATCGACGCTGAACCAAGTGCCAGCAGGCGATCACTCCATTTACGTGATTCATCTACATTTCTAAATGAAGTGGACGACCTGCAGATCGACGACAGAATTTTTGACTGCTTTCAGCAGGAGACGTGTTCACTTACCACAGCATATTTCAAATTGGACATTTTACATACTGGATTCACTGCATTTCCAAAGACTCGAAAGCAAACTTATTATTCTGCTCATTAATTTCTTATAGTTGTCAGTTCGAAAATGGTCATACTGATAATCGCGGAGTTTTTGTGCATCTGCGCGCTCGCGGGTACGGTTGCCTTATTCTTCAGGTGAGTACCTTTAGTAAATATATGCTGACATTACAGGTATTTACCTGAACTGACGATGTCCTGAAACAGTACGTGAAATATTTATGAATGAATAAAAGAATGAATGGCAGACGCAGAGACGTGGGCATAAGTGCGTGGAGAGAGGAAGCCTCCATCGTTGGGACGCGAGCTTTATTCGTATGACGTTTATAATTTTCCCCTGAACCAACTACTAGAGCCAGCAACCGATAGTGGCGTAGGACGCATACGGGTCCAGTATTTACAAAATTCGTTTGATGCGCAATCGCATACCTACTAAAATGCTCATCTCCACTTTCTTCGCATCTGTCCTTCCTGTTACGGAGCCAATTTAGCACATGATATAGTTTATAAAGAGCAAATTCGAGATTTTTAATTAAGAAATTTTTAGGTATGGTGAATACAAAGCAAACGGTTGGGCTGGATGTGAATACATGCACCCTCCCCCCCCCACTACTAGCACTTTGGCGAAAGATCATCTCTAATACGGGAATGGTAGTAAAGAGGTTTTACGGGTGGGTCGATCTAAGGAGGCGGCGGTGCGGTTTAATTTACTTGGCAACTTAAAGATCGTGTTTACGCCACCTGCTTGTTTTAATGTAAAAATTAAGTATGAATTCAACCCCGTGCATTATAAGAAGAAGCCCATAAGTAACCACAAGACCCTATAAAGGAAGTGATGCAAGACCACAAGTGAGAAATTGCCGGGTAACTGTCCAGTGAGGAGTCACTTCTATGGAATGTTTGCCTTACCGGTGCCTTGCGGCCGACTCCAGCTGCATTGGGTCATACTACTTGAGGCGTTTACGGCAACGTATGGGCTATAGGAGGCTTTAATACAGGAAATCCTCCAGAGATTAAGGAGAAATGAGCAGTTTAAATGTACAGGCAGGCCATCAGATACATCGTCCATACCTCGCCAAGATCTTTGCGGGTAACGGTTTTTTGTGGAAGACGCGTGCTGCGAACGCTCACGCCAAGTCGTCCACAGCACGCAGTCCCATTATCAGTCGACCAGTAGTCTCGGATATGTCGCCTTGGAATGGGAGAGGGAAGAAAGATCCGGGCCAGTACTGGGGTAATTTCCCTCGTGGCCATTCGACGCCCACCACCCTTTAATAAGTTCAAATCTAAGTTCTAATCTTTCTGGCTTGGAATGTCACCAGGTGAGGCACTAGACCATTCCTCCTTCGAAATGAGTGTCAGGCTGTAATGGCTCCTAAAAGCGACTTTCGTAGCCCTTCTCACTTCTTGAGATCCTAACCCGTATGTGACATGCGTTGGAAGCCGACTTAACGTCATGTCAGCCAACGTGTTCAATCTCACCCTCAGTCGATTTGACTCCAATAAGTTAACTGGCATATGGGAGCACTTTGTCAATTAATTATAAACAGTCAGGTGCGCTTTTAACAGGCCAAAACTTGCGGCTTGGAGAGCTACCAATGGAGAGGATAACTTGGCTCTGCACCGAACAAAGGGTATCTTGGAACGGACAGTGTCTATCCCAGCCATCTATTACAGTTCTCCTCGATGAGATTTTCGGGGTTGAATAATCGAAGACCGGTGTGTGTGAAGTAAGGGGTTAGCACGCGTGCAGTGTGCGTAGGCATAGCTTTGGGAGCCCAGTCGGCCCCGTAAAGTGATACTTCTTCAAACAGGTGCTCTTCTGGACACCTAGGGACTGCAGTAGTGTAGTGGTGTTTTGTGACAACGGTTATAGTAATTTATAATAAAGATATACACCATGAAAACGTGGAAGCCGGATCCATCAAGATCAAGCACAAACGTAAATATTAAAAAACCTCAGTTCACCAAAATCAGGCAGAAAAGTGCGTTTCCATTAAACAATTACACTTACAACAAGGCAGGACATAAAATAACATTTGTACAAATTCCCTAAGCAAATATAATTAAGTCTGAGTAGCCTGTATCTTGTAATAACAACAACTCGTTCGTTTGGTGGGTTATATGGCCAAAGATGGCCCTTTACTGAATATTAGGGCCTTGTCTTTGTCATCCGTTTGCATCCTACTTCAGGCGTCACCAGCAGTCAATGCAACTTAGAAGGGGAATCAACAAGCTGGTCCTGTATCCTGATGATGTCGAATTTGCCAAGTCGGCGCCAATACAGAAGAAGAAACATTCAGTAAGTCGACTAAATCAGGCTATCCAGGTTTATATTAGTACCTGCCTATGACATGCAATTCTTCTGCACTCAGCGGGTTGACCTTACCCAAAAACTGTTTCCATTCCTTACGGCAATCTAAAACGGCACCGGTCGGGTGAAGGCCCCCAAACACACATGACCAGCCAAAGGTGCCTGTCTTACGGGAAAGGCGGTAATAGGGGTTTTACGGGCGTGGCCTATGTATGCATAGAGGAATGGCAAAATAAGCATAGATAATTGGTAAATTTGTTTTTCGTGCGAAAAGCCCTAATGCATTGATATATGGCAACCGAAATTAAGCAGGACAATTAAAAAAAGAAACTTTAACTGTCTATTGCGATCGCTTCTCAACTCTCTGAGCTGAGTTCTCTATAGAAAATTCCCCTTGACCGTCTACGACAGAAGAACCAACTTTGATATATGAATCACCAAACCGAAATAATCGTGTCGGGCTTAAATCCTCTTAAATAAGTATAGTAGGTATTCTTTGTATGCCACAGATAATTGGGGGCCATCACCCGATCCTCACCATCTGAAATTAATGACGGTAGAAGTCCTTAATGAAGCGTTCCTTTGTGCAATCACAAAGTTCGCTATTTTCCTAAGAAAAAGGGTCGAAATAATATGACCCCGGTGACCTTGACAACCAATCTCCTTCTGCAGTTAGTAGAACAGAGTATTCTTGGCGGCAAGGATAAGAGTTTCCTGGTCGTGTTTTCTCTATAGCCAATGAGTCTGCATAAGAAATAACTACGGTTTATCAGAATTTCGGACTGTACGAAGCTGTCAGTCTACCAGATTCCTTTAGAATCTCCGAAGTTATTGGGTTTTACTGTTTGTAAATGGTTTTGACTAAATCGGTGAAACCATCGTCGAAGAGCTGGTAAGGAAAATTTAATCATCAACCTCAAAATACAGCAAATGGACCCAAAATCCTCCTCACGTTAGAGAAACCGATTTCTTGTTAACAACAGCCAATGAAGGGATTGCTTTATATTTGGGACCGCCGAGTGGTTTGCCCTCAACTTCTGATCACCGCATTTTTCACTATCCAGAATATATTTGGACAAACAGCTCCTCTTTTTATTGGATTCAGATTTATAATGTTCCCTTCCCGCAGATGACGTGTCATAAAAACTACATTAGTGGTGCATGCAAAGGTGATATACGTATTAACTTCTACTCTAGATCACAAAAGAACCCCTCTTCTCTCCAAAGGTGACATTCAGCGGCGATGTGGACAGAGGAAGCGAAAGGGACGAATCTGTGAATGATGCATCTTCGGTTATGGAGACAATAAGCTACGGAAAGGCCAGCTACATGGTAGGATAGTGACATATACCGACTTTCACCTCCTTTAAATGGTACCAGTATCTATCTTTCTAGTTGACAAGATTAACAATCGTGGCAGCCAAAAACTGTTATAGTTTCTGCCAAAAGAGTTTCCGTATTTTTGAGGGGTAGTATTCGGACACTTCCCCTCTCTGGCTATTTTTTGCGAGACACAAACAGACAAGGGTTAAAAACTCCTCTATATATTTTAAGAAAGGAAACCATGAGGAAAATAGGAGTTTTTGCCGCCCAGGTCAAGCCATTTAAGGCTATGGCCTTTTTGTCAGTCGGAGTTCCCCCGAATTATCCTTCAAAACACAGAGACAGTGTTGGTAAGACCTACTTCATAGACTGATTCAGCTCCTTTACGAGCGAATGCGACGACTACAACTAGTGGAATGATCTAACAACCTAGGCATCAAAGGAAAGACTAAATTTGACAGGCAATTGGGTTAACTTTGACTGTATTAGAAACCACGATTTTAAGGAAAGAATTCTCGGAAGATCCAAAGTGTATTGAAGTTGATGAAGTTAGACTGTGAATCCCTGTCGCTGGAGGACCGAATTAGTTTCCTATAAGAAGACATTTTACCGGCATGCTTAATCTCAATGCTATTAATTGGCTATCTATCGGCAGCATACAAGTTTGGTGGTTAAATACCATCAATAAGACCGTTTAAGTCGCAACTAACCAATTGTCCTAACCCCTCTGCTCAGCTATGTGCCCTGTAACTTTACGTTGGTGTGTGACATTTCTGTCTAAGGACGGCACCAAATGAACACGAAACAACCATTGTATCAATATCTGAAATCCCTATCTGTTTGACATCCAACATCATTGGGAAGCCTTTTGACAAACCGATGAGATTCTTACCCTTGTTACATCACAGAATTATAAACTGGGTGAGGTTTCCTAAATGAGCAAAAGCAATAAAGTTCTTTCTCATTCATTCATTCATCCTGATGCCTTGATTTCAGACGTCAAGACGGGTTGTTCTAAATCGCAATACAATATTTAAATATCATTAATTGCGATTTTTCCTATGGTTTCTTTTCTCGCCCAAAAAAAAGTAGAAAATTATTTTGGGAATCCCCGGTCCAACGTTTAAAAGCATACAAAGAGCCGGAGATGTTTAGCGGATTCCCTAAATGGATTATATTGCAAAGTGCAAAATTACGAAATACTTGGCAGAGAAGAAACCATACCCAGATGTTGAAATTACTAATTTTTTCGCGCAGCTGATCGACTATGAAGCTATCCAGCATTGAAGCACTTTTTAATGCTGTCCGGCTAGGTTTCTCAGTTACTTGAGGATTTTTAGAAGAGGTCGACGGCCACTTTGGGGGAAAATTATGAATGCAAAAAGGAACTTGATAAGTAGAAGCAAAAAGTACGGAAGATGTCAGCAAACCTCACTTGCTTGCCTTCTAGTGATTTGGGAAAGAGACATCAGAAACAATTAGGCTTTTATTTTTATTGATTGTGGTGGAAAACTGCGATGGAATACTGTTTTAACGCAATTAGACACAGAAGACTGCGACGTCGCGATCCTCACGGATGGATCGTCCTCAAAACAGGATAGACAAGACGGATTCCTGTCGCCTTTTCCAAATGGTACTTTGTGACTGCGGATTGTGTACTACATTATTCACTCCAGATGCTTGGAGTCAGGTCATTTCCCAACGTCTTATGAAGCTGACGAATGAATTTATCAATTGCTTGATCAAACCATGCCGAGTCCGCTACATTGTATGATTTTCGATAAATTATACGAAGAGCGCGGCAACCCACTAGTAATCACAAAAAACCAGGCATTTAGTGAACAGTTGCAAATATTAGATAAGGAGGCAAGAAATGCAAAGCCTGACTGATACTTCCGCACACAATGGTATAATTATCGGGAAATACGGAAGATGCTGAAAACTCGCCTTTCATGCTAAGCCAAATGTTTTACTTTACTTCAAAAAGGGACATATTAGTGGATCCTCTGCGGCTTTTAGACTGGCAGACAATATTACAACGATGAACAAAGGGGAAATATCATCAGGATGTAATTTTCTAAGAGTCATTTTTACCTCTGGGAAGAAAACGTTGAGATGTTGTTTAAATGCCAGTACCTGATCCCGTACGATGACGACGAAGGTATCACGCAAATAGCGAGCCGAGGATTTCGGTCTGTGGTGTCGGAAAGCCAGCGACTTCAGCCGCTGCAGGACCGTCTCAGCTAAGAGTACCGAAATCAGGGCAGAGTAGCGTTGCCGACGGATACAAATGAGACTGGAGTGGCCATTTTTGGCTTGTTAGCTGTCGTCAGTCAGTCATACCCAACTCCAAGATGTGTAACACCTGAAGCTCGGTCTCGCGATCTGTTGGTTGGAAGTCCAGCGCCCCTAACTACTTAGCCGCGGGCTGGTTGTCATTTACTGGAATCAGCGAACCCATTGACGTGTCTTTCATCTGTTCGTAGTCTGTTCTGCTGAACGTGACGCACATCCTGAGACAGAACTTCCGGAGTTAGAGGACTTGGGCGTGTCCTAGGCAGTTCTCCGTTTAACCTTATTTGTTCAATAGGGGTAGTTTGACGGCTCGACTGCCAGGTCCTGCGGAATAGGAATTAGAAGGGACTTGACATTAAAAGGTACCATGACGTCCCTTGGAAGGACACTTACCTCCTTTAGTTTCTCCAAGAATTGTGTCGACGAACTGACTGCGGTGTCCGAATCAGCGGTTAAAAACTTAAGACATCGAAACTGCCACTTTGCCAGTCCATAAGCTAAAGTACCGCGGAGTGATACGGCGGGTCGAAAGGAGCGTTCTCTTTGTGCACTTTTGGGAGACCATAGGATCGGACCAAGTCTGATTCTTGCGCTATCGTCATGCGTCGATCGGCGATATTGCGCTGCACCTGAGTTCCTCATTGCCAATAGCGTCGCACTGATTTTGCGTGTCAGCGTTTTTAAGGGGTTGGATTCACGTGAGACATAGAACTGACGATCCTCCAGCAAGCTTTAGGCTTTCCGAAGATGTTCTGTCCTGTCCACTAAGACAGTGGAATGCCCCTTGTCCGCAAGCACGATAACGATGCCTTTGTCGACCTTGGGTTCCCTCAGCAGATCGCGCTAAACCTTGGGAAGCACTTCGCACGGCCTATGAGCCAAGAGAAAAGGCGACCCCTGGCGTTGAATACGGCTCTTCGTTTCGTCCGTCGCTTTCGTCTGGCTGACGATTGACTCCGTTATTGTAATCATGTTGATAGTTCTGGCATTAGTAATGCTAAATAAGGCCCCATGCCATAACACCCTTATCTGTTCCTCTGACAATAGTTTGGGCACTGGTTTGTGGTTTTCGGATGACTTTGGGTGAGGCAGCTTGCGAAACCTGTTCTATAGTACTGTATCTCTAATCGCTCTCCTTTCGCGATTTCGTTAGGCCGCCCTCTTCTGAAACAGTTTTCTACTGGTTTTGCCAGTAAAATCGCAGCATCTCGCCTTCTCTTGGACAATCCTTCGACGGCATTTGCAAAGCCTCGAATGACATTTTTGAAATAGCTCAAGTTTATCCCCTTCCGCCTCTTTGCTTATATTGACAAACTGCTAGTTCGTTGCATGATAAACATTCTTGGTGATGCTTTTACTCTCACGGTCAGATTAAATGCTGCCGTGGCCGAGACATGTCCTTCTGCAGCCAGTTGGCGACCTGCACAGGGTCGATCAGCGGACGGTTGTCGTGTACGGTGCAGTCATTCAATTGACAGGATATGTCAGGCAAACCAGAGGCGGCATGGGTAAGCGGTCAAAATCGCGACTACGTGAGCCGGATATCACGTTATCCTCCATTGAGAAAAAAGTCGGCGTGAAGCCACGCCGACGGAGTCGTTAAA